TCATCTGGAAGATCTGGAACATCCGTAAAATGATCAATCCATAAAACTGATCCATGAGTTCCACTTTTTTTTTTCGAAAACACGTGGAACTGAGATATAAGAAATAATTTGGGTTCGTAACGTAAACATAAACCCGAATGACCATGAAAGCGTCTTCCGGAAGTTCCGTAAAAGTGGTGCATCGATGATACTGATTCTAGAACTTCGCGGTTTTCTCGAGAACACTTCAAACTGTGAAGTTTTCGAAAAAATCACGGTTTTTTTACAGTTTCATGTATGAAACACTTTTACGGATGTTCCGGATCTTCCGAATGACGGTCCAATAGCCAACCTGATTCATGTTTATGTCACAACCCCAAATTCATTCTTATAATACAGTTTCATGGATTTACCACTTTTAAGGATGTTCCAGATCTTCCAGAGGACGATCTTATGAACTAGCGCTACATTCGCCATCATCCCGATCTATTGTGATCCCATCGGCATTCAAGTGATCGCCATTCTTCTCGGATCCACTTGTGCTTCACCGCCATCGAGAATTTCGAAACCCGTAAAAGTTCGTGCTTGGATTTATTAAATACAAGGCCTAGTACCCTTAGGCACACGGTACGTAGTATTCCAAGGTGTGCAGTAGTTCCCGCTGGTGCTTTTAGATTTTTATTCCGATTCCGTGATACCGCATAACCACCCACCTGTCAGGATACACGCCCAGCTGTTGAGCTAACCCGTCCAGGAAGTGACCACCACTAGGTCCAGTGAAAGCAACCGCTTCTAGTTCCACAGTGTCATCCGTTTTTACCGCATCACCGTTCCGTAGACCAGTTCCAGAATTTAAATAAAATCAAAAGGCCTAATACTAGCCTTGAGAAGTGCACTCATCGACACTCCGCGTCCAAAATGGCGGACGATCGCACGAAGCAGCAACTCATCACCCGGCGGACAACCCTCATCGCTTCCTTGGGCAGAACGGAGCAGTTCGTCGAGAACTACGCTGCAGAACGAGATCGAGGACAAGTGCAACTACGTCTCGCCAATTTGGACACTGTGTGGATGGGACTGAAGGATGTGCAAACTCAGCTAGAGGACATCGAAACAGCGAACGAAGGTATGGCACAAAACCTCCACTACCGCTCCTATAATGAAACCCGCTACTTCGTAACAAAGGCTGCCGGTTGTATCCACCTCTGTTGAGGGCTGGAATGCCCCGCAGAATCTGTTTTTGGCCGACCCGACCTTCAACAAGACACTGGTGCCGTTGATATGCTGCTCGGAGCCGAGCATTTCTTTACTTTCGTGAACCCAGGTACCCGTATCGAAAAGGCAGAAAATCGCGTCCTCATCGACAGTATCTTTGGTTCGTTTTTCGTCACCGGTAGGAATCAACACCCACAAAAACCTCTCCCCGTAGCATGCAATGTTACCCTTGCCGATCCACTTCATACAGCTCTTGAACGTTTCTGGCGCATCGAAGAGGTAGAGAATCAGTCCAATTATTTACTCGGTGGAAGAACAGCAGTGTGAATCCCATTTCATTTCCAACGTTTCACGCACCCCAGAAGGAAGATCAAAACATCCACTGGCAATTCCCTAAATGATGCCCTCCTAGTTGGACCAATCATCCAAGACGAATTACTTACCCTCGTCATTCGTTTTCGGAAGTATCTAATAGCCCTTGTGGCAGACATAGCCAAAATGTATCGTCAAGTCTTGCTCCACCCAGAAGATACCCCACTGGTCCGAATTCTCTGGCACTTTAATTGCAACGAACCGATTTCCATCTACGAGCTGCTAACGGTAACCTACGGATTGGCCCCATCGTCATTTCTTGCCACGCGTACCCTACAGCAGCTTGCTTCGGACGAAGGAGATTCGTACCCACTCGGTGGTCCCGCGTTGAAGAAAGGATTCTACGTTGATGACTACATAGGGGGAGCAGACACGGAGGAGGAAGCTATCCGCCTACGCAACGAGCTAGACGAGCTGCTAGCTAAGGGTGGCTTTGAGCTTAGGAAGTGGGCATCAAACAACCAAACCGTACTGGAAGGACTCGATGCTTCGAAGATTGGAACCCAACCAGCTCTGAAATTAGGCCATGAGGAACCCATCAAGGCACTGGGAGTTAGCTGGGAACCCGGGACAGATCAGCTACGATTCGATTCCACTCCAATTCTCACAAGCGGACCATCCACGAAGCGATCCATTCTGTCGGCTGTATCGAAGCACTTCGACCCGCTTGGTCTTACAGCACCGGTCATCATACGGGCAAAAATGCTACCACAGAAGCTGTGGCTGCAACCCTGCGGATGGGATGAAGAAGTAAGTGACACTATACGAGCAAAAAGGAACACCTACTGCACCGAACTACCCAAAATTTTGTCTTTCCGAGTCAGCCGATACGCATTCTTGCCAAACTCCACTGTACAGTTGCACACTTTCGCGGATGCATCTCAGCAACCATACGGCGCTTGCATTTATGCCCGATCCACCAATCCCGAAGGTCACATCCACGTCCAGCTGATTGCATCGAAATCGAAGGTAGCCCCGCTCAAGCGATTATCCATTCCCCGGCTGGAATTGTCGGCAGCGGTTCTCGCTGTTAGATTGCATCAAAAGGTCATCCTGGCCCTGGATATGCCCATTTCGGCCTCACATTTCTGGTCGAATTTCACCGTCGTACTTGAATGGCTACGTTCACCACCGCACACCTGGAATACTTTCGTCGCGAATCGGGTATCTGAAGTCCAAACCACTACTCCGGGATTACGTTGGCATCACGTCGCTGGCAAGCAGAATCCAGCGGATCTCGCCTCGAGGGGGATGAAACCCAACAAACAATTTTAGCTATAGATTAGCTTATACAGCCAAAATTTGCTTTATGCAGCTAATTTTTGCCTGTATAAGCTAAGATGCAGCTAAAATTGTTTGTTGGGAAGTTGATGATTTCCTTGGGAGCAATCTTTGGCATCATGGACCAGTGTGGCTAAAACTTCCCGAAGCGGATTGGCCTGTGGCAATGCAGCGGCAGAAAGCACCGGAGGACATCCTAGAGCGGCGAGAGATGGTGGCGGCGATCCAAAACAAACCCAGCAAGAATCCGATATTTTGCACTTCATCCTCCTACAATCGATTGATTCGAGTGACAGCGTATTGTTTTCGTTTCATCAGAGCCTGTCGTCGTCAAACTTCAAGCGACCCTGCAGAAAAGACAACAATGATCACCGTGGACGAAATGGAACTGGTTCGCATAAAATTAATTAAACTATCCCAAGCAGATGTTTTCGAGGAGGAGATTAGGTACTTGGGGAAGGGAAAAGTGGTTCCGAAGCATTCGCACTTACGCCTTTTGTGCCCCTTCGTCGACCCGGAAGGCATTCCGAGAGCTGGAGGTAGATTACGTCTTTCAGAGCAGCCTTATATAACCAAACATCCCATTCTCCTACCCAGTTCCCATCCATTTACACGGTTAGTTGCCAACCATTATCACCTGAGACTGTTATACGGTGGCGGCCGTGTAACCCTAGCAGCCATCCGGCAAGAATACTGGCCAATTCAAGGACGTAGATTGGTCAATGGTATCGTTAGAAATTGCTTTCGATGCGCTCGTGCTTCACCCGTACCCACCAAGCAACAAACCGGACAGTTGCCCCAAGACAGAATCACTCCTAGCCGTCCGTTTTCAGTCACCGGAGTTGACTATGCCGGCCCAGTATACATCAGGCCAATCCACAAACGAGCTGCACCAACCAAGGCCTACATCAGCGTGTTTGTATGCTTCGTCACCAAAGCCGTGCACCTGGAGCTTGTGAGTGATTTATCCACCCCCGCATTTTTCACTGCACTGCGAAGATTCATCGCTCGCCGTGGTTGCCCTGCACACATCCATTCCGATAACGGAAAAAACATTCAGGGTGCCCAAAATGAACTTCGCGAATTATACCAGCTGATGCAGAAGGAGAAGACGACCGGTGAAATAGCCACCCACTGTGCTAACCAGGGAATCCAGTGGCAAATGGCACCGCCGAAAGCCCCACATTTTGGTGGGTTGTGGGAAGCAGCAGTGAAGATCGCGAAGAAGCACTTACATCGACAGTTCGGCAACGCAATGCTCTCGTTCGAAGATATGTACACCGTGCTGGCACAAATTGAGGCAGCAATGAATTCCCGGCCATTGACTCCACTGACTGATGACCCGAATGATTTGGCTGTGCTCACTCCGGCACACTTCCTTATTGGTACTACAATGACCGCTCTCCCCGAAGTCGACGTTAGCAACATTGACACCAGTCGTTTGGACCACTACCGGCGTCTCCAGCAAAGAGTCCAGCAATTTTGGTATCAGTGGAAGACCGAATACTTGCAGGAGCTGCAGAAGGAAAACCGACACATCACATCGAACACTGCAATCCAGCCCGGAAGATTGGTCGTCGTCGTCGATGAGTTTCTCGCTCCCGTGAAGTGGCCACTAGCAAGAATCGTCAACACCATCCCCGGACCAGATGGGCTCATCCGAGTCGTCGATCTGCAAACCAGCAAGGGAATCATCCGTCGTCCGATTACGAAGATTTGTATGCTGCCATTTGAAGAAGCAACTGAAGAAGCTTAGAATATTTTTGATTGTGTGTTTAGATTTGTGTGCGTTAAGAAATAGTGAAATTCAGAAATTTCAGGTGGCGGCGATGACAGTTCTCAAACTAATTGTTGCCGCACTGCAAATGTTGCATGCAAGTTTTGTAGATAAAATGTTTCCAACACAACGTAGGTTAAATAGACAATGTAAAGGAATAAAAGTGAGTTAGTAAAGTTCCAACAGCCAAGAAATAAAGATCGTTTTTTCCAATTAAATAAAGTTTTGGTGATCTTGAGTGCCTACTCCGCCGATTTTGCCGTTCCGTTTTTTAGTGACTAGTGTCCGTGTGTGATCCCGAAATACCCCGCCGGAAAACCACGATCCTGCCCTAATACTCATATATCTCATATAATAATGAGAATGATTTCAATACCTTTCTGTAATTAAAGTAAAGAGCGTAAATTTTTTTCTCTCCAAGAGAATTGCTCTCTGGACTCCCTAAAAATGGGTGGCATGTTTCTTTTTGCTCGGGTGCTGTCAGTTCAATCGAAGATGGCGTCGAAACAGCAAGCACTCCGCGAGCGTGTTGTACGGTTTTACGAAACGCATGGTCATCGTGGAAAAACAGTTTACGGTAGACCACTTTCGAGACGAAAACGTGCCCGTGAGTACAGTTTACCGGATCCTGGCATCCCTGAGCGTGGAGCGGAAGGCCGGTAGCGGCCGTCCGGCGAAGATAATGACGAAGAAGAAGAAGGTAGCGTTGAAAAAGCTGTTCGACAACAAGGACGGGACGAGTTTGCGTGACGCTGGCCGAAAATATCACTGCTCCCATACCTTGATTCACCGAACCCTCAAGATGGAGGGCATCATCTGTCGGAAGAAGACTCGGTTCCCCGAGTACACGGACGAAGCGATAGCGACCGTGAAATCGCAGTGCCAAGAAGACGCTGGAGTATCTTGAGCAGAAAAAGATACCGTACGTGCCGAAAGAAAGGAACCCGACCAACTTGCCCCAGTGCCGTCCCATTGAGGATTATTTCGGCTCCCTCAGTACCCTAGTGTACAAAAATAATAGGCGGACCAAGGATACGAAGCAGTTGACCACGAGGATCCGGAATTGTATCCGGAAGATGGACGTCAGTGCCGTCCAGCGCTCTTGTGAGAGCATCGCGACTAAGTTCTCTCCAATATTCATTGACGTTTTTTTTTTAAGAATAAACATTATGTTTTTAATAAAAAATACTGAATCCAATGAAAAAAAAAAAATTTTTTGCAAGCCATATGATTGAAAAAATTCTAATTTTTTATTGAACACCCGTTATGCGGTTAAAGCATTTGAGTTAACTTATTTCTTAGTGTTCAAATACTTACATTTGTAAACAGCAGTCAGTGTTAATCTATGAACTAAACCCTACGTGACTGTAAAATCGATCTTTCCTTATGTGGTATTGATGCATTTTCGCGGCTGTCGGAATCAACGCGCCTACGTCTACGGAGCTTACGCAGAAGTGATTCGCAATTCGGTAGAGCTTGTCGAACGCTTTTGAGCTTATTTAGTATAGAATTTGTTCGGTACGGTCGCGAAATCTTGAAATGATTGATACGTTCATTAAATTAACTCATTTGATACAAAGCTCAGTAGTAAATAAGTAGAATATCTAGGGAGGAAACCAAAATTAATCAACTTGCCAACATAGGCTATCACATTTATTTTGGTGGCACTCTTTAAATAATAATATTTCTCTTAATATCTTTCTTTTAATTCTGGAATTTTTAGGGTAGAAATGCAAGTTTAAGTAGGGTTAACTACCCCATTTCCGGCCTATACACCTTTTTAATAGAAACTAAACGATCGATTCAACCTCTGGTGATGAATAGGAAAACGTCAAAAAGAGTGTTGTGAGCAGAAATTTCTACCGTGAGACAGGAAACGGAACACTTTTTTACTTTTCCTGATCAATTGATTTATCAGAGATGCTCCAAAACTTGATCTACAGTTGAAACATTTAATTCTGTAACGTTTTTGCAAAGATCCTGCTGGTGTTCAGGAATATTTTTGTTGAGAAAAATGGAAAATTAGACAAGTGCCTTAGCGGTTATGATCTTCCAGATTTCTTGTGTGTGAGTAGTTAAGGTACAAATCAGTTTAGATCGGTGGGAAATCGTACAATAAGACAATAACCGATGGAAATTGGCAAGATATTGAATTTAAAATGCTTTAATTTGCGTTGTGAAAAATAGTTATTCTGATGTGAACAAACGGTTTGGTTGACGTTTTTTCTCGAACTCACGTGGCGCACTCTACGTTGGTGGTGTATTAAAAAGGCCTATTAAGCACAACCGGCACTTAGTCTTTCTTAATCTAGCGCAGTTTAGCACCAAACGGAATGTTATTATTACTGATGGCTTCCAAATTTATTAACTTTTCCGTACGTGCCGTAAGATTTGATAAAGAAAAACCAATCGTTGAGATATTTTCAAAAGTCTAAAACTGCTTCTTGACGCCAAACTCGGCCTACGGATTCTAAACTCGGCCTAACGCATTGAAACGCCAATGAATTCACTTCAGCCTATCGGATGAAGATAAAAATGGATTCGGTCGGAACGCTTCTTTTGTTTTTGAGAATAATGGGTGCAAACCTTCATATCACGTATTCTAATTGACTTCGTTCGGAAGCTTATTAACTAAAGTATCGTACCAAACGCATAATTGACTTGTTAACTCTGAAACCATGGATTTATTTGAAGTTTTCTGCTCGATAGGCCCAAAATGGGCGATTAGGCCGAAGTAGTTCTCTACCCTACTAACCTAGCAATGTGGCTTGTCAAATTTATGAATTAAAAGCGAGAATGCTGTGAAAATTCGCATCGGGCGTTTTGTCCCGGGTTGCATTTTGAACTGTTTCCCTCTACCTCAAACTAATACCGTTTAGAAATCCATACCAATAATAGCATTAGCATTATCGTAAATCAAACGTCGTCCTCTTTGCTTTGAGTTCGTCATTTTTGTCGGTTAGACCGTTCATTTTTGGTTCGATTTTGGTCTCCGCTTCACCCAGTTCGTAAGCGTGCTTCCAATAATTATTGTTCCATTGTCCGTTCCGCATGGCCAATGAGATCAACCCAAATTTGAGTTTAGTTTACTCATAGATCGCAAAGTTTTTCTCATTTGCCGGCAGATTTTTGAGGTTTTCCACAGGAAAACATGAGGCAAATTTACTCATCGCTGAGTTCCTGCACTTTTTACGATTATCAGTAAACTGAACTCAAATTCGGGTTGATTTCATTAGCCGTGCAGGAGCTTCTTTGTACCTTTTCTTCACAAATTCCACTCCCCATTATCATCTTGTGCAGTAAGATGCACTCACAATTGATTGCCCTTCGCCCGGCTAGCAACATCTTCCCTTTATCAGTGAAGCGTCTCGACGATGACAACGACGACGACGACGACCGGACCGGGGTTTGTTTTGTGTTTTCTTCTATGCCAGGAGCTCTCGAAAACCTTGCACTCCTATTATCAGTAGGCTATTCATTCGTGTATGAAAGCAGTCGTGCGGCTTAAAATCGATGATCCACAAACCAACCATCACATCGGGCCAGGCAGGCGCAGCTGTTGGATTTTGTTTCGCCATCAGTTTCGCCCGTCATCGGCGTCGGCGCAGGGGACTTGCAGTCTAGTGCGGCTTTTCGAGCGAGCAGCACTCTCTTACGTCCAAGTTGGGTTCTTGTCTATTTTTTTTTTAACTCGGTTGAAATGGAGACTCTGATTTCCCATATGTTCGTTGAGCACGACATCGTTCCAGTGTTGATTGAATGTGCACCGTTGGTGTTTGCCAAGGTCAGTGTCAGTGAAATCAGTGTTCAATTGGATTCATTTTTCCGGAGGACGCCGCTGTGTGCCATGTACTTGTAGGTCAGCTACCGTTCGAAGAAGCTCGTCGACGCGGGGAAGGAACTGACTCCGGCCGACGTGCGCGATGAACCGAAGGTCGAATGGTGCGCCGATCCCATCATATACTACACACTGGTCATGATTGATCCGGATTCTCCGAGCAGGACGGAACCCCTGAACCGGGAATTCGCCCACTGGCTGGTGGGTAACATTCCAGGGAAGCACGTGGAGCAGGGTGAAGTCCTCTTCGAGTATCTACCTGCATTCCCTCGGGCCGGAACCGGTTTCCATCGGTACATATTCCTGCTCTACCAGCAGCACTGCCACAACGATTACTCCGAAGCTCCCCGGGCCTCTAGGAAGTAGGTCACTGCTCCACCAGAGCAGCCTGTTTTTACAGCTAGATCCAGTGTGATTATTTGACTCTATTTTTTTTTGCATCAAACAGGAATCGAACACCACGGTTGCGTTTTTCGACGCGTGATTTCGCCCGCCGTTACAGTCTGGGTCAACCGATTGCGGGCAACTTTTTCGTTGCCCAGTTTGACGACTACGTACCGGTCATATTGGCGCAATTCCCTCCGTCCAACGAGTACTGACTTGGCGCCGATAGATGATGATGATGTGTGTGGGTGTGCGTGAACTCAAGAGATAGAGAGCAAGAGAGTGCCGCCTCTCTGTTTTTGTTTACATCGCTGGAGCGCACCCATGGCTTTGGGATTGGAGATTGAACGGCAGATCGATGGAAACATTTCAAAAGGGCGAAATTGCTTTTGTAAACAATGTTTATTTGTCGCAAATATAAGCTCACTCCCAAATACTTATCACACCAGCTGGTAGCGGGAACGTTCCTCTAATCGATGGCATAGTTAATTTGCATGTGCAATCTTTAATACGCGGGAATCGATGGGTGAAGTAATTGTTTATGAAAGCAGTTTCGCCCATTTGAAATGTTGGCCTCGATTTGTCGTTCAATCTCAAATCCCAAAGCCATGCGCACCAGCGATGTAAACAAAAACAGAGACAGCTTCAAGGGGATGATAGGGAAGTGGCAACCTCGTGATTGCGATAATCAGCTGATGAGTCAGTAATTGCTGTCAACTGGTGCCAATAATAATGTTATATCACCAGTGATGAAAGGAAAGCATTTTTGAATCTCTCGATAAGGTAAGGGAGTATGCATTAAGTACGTCACGCGAAATTTAGGGCATATCAACTCCCTTATCACTTATTTTCCCGTTTTTGTATTGCATGTCACACATTCAGTGTGACGTACTAAATGGATGCTTCCCAAGTAGATTGGACACCGAAATATATACATAGATGGGACGATTGAGTTTTTGTGCATTATTCACTTCGAAATTCACACTTTACAGGGTGATTTAGAAAAAACTGTCATCGATTTCACAAATATGCAATTCTCAATGGGTAAATTGTTTTAAAGTGTGTACAAATATCAGCTTGTATTAGTAGTAGGATTTGAAGTAGGATTGGGCGATCTTCAGAGAAAGATCGATCTTGACGGATCGATCTTATATTTGGCTCTAGAATCGATCCACTGATCAAATCGGTACCAAAAAATCGATCTTTGATAGATCGATCTTATGGGTTTTATTTCAATTGACCTTTCTGACGTTTATAACTCGGACACTTGCATAATCCCAAGTGCTTAGTTTGCTATCCTTACTTTTGCTCTAGCCAAAAATGTTGGTTTGTTATTGTTATCCTCTCTTTCGGACTATGTATACGCTTGTTTACGTTGGAACCCCAAGAAATTCTATCAATTATTCTTTTATTTCATTAAATGTTACCGTAACGGAGAGGTAGCAAAAACCTTAAAATTTTGCTGAATCCATAAATATCGGAAACGCAAATAGTGACGCCATTGTAAGGAGCATTGCTGATGTCAATTTACCTCGCAGTCTGGTGTGAGAGTAAATCGTTTTTTCAATGTAAATACAATTACAAAATTTAACACCTATTGCTTTTTGAAGATCGAAAAGATCGAAACAAGAGATCGATTTTTTCGATCTTTTCGTGGACAAAGAATCGATCCGAAAAATCGGAAATCGTGATGAAAAAGATCGATCTTCCAAAGATCGATCCAAGATCGCCCAATCCTAATTTGAAGTTTCAGTCATAAATCTGTAAAAAATCGTGTGTTATCATGAAACATTTATTTTTCGCACTCTTTATAGAGGCACAAAGGAACCATGCTTGGAAAATCCTTTCAAAATCAGAGGCATCGCCAGGGCTCCAAAAGTGCTGGAACTAAAGCGTACTAATTAAGGTAAAGGGAGAGAGATTTGAATTAAAGTATACAAAGTTAAAGGTTTGTATGTAGTATATCAGGAATATACTGATATCAAAAAATCACGCAAGCGTACAATCATTATGCATTTTAAAAAGTGACAGTTCTTCCGGATCACCCTGTATGCATATACGTGGTTTACTAAGTGTCAATTGCCTTGACAACAACAAATGTAAGTACCGAAAAGTGACATCATTCTGCGCGTGCCTAATTCCACGCTTTCATCATCATTTTGCATCAGCTCTTTCCCAAGCAACACACAGGTTCTATAGCAGTTTATATAACTTTTCTATGACCAGTTTTGGCTGTAAAGAAATGTACTCAACATAATGCCATGAATTTGTGTTACTTGGGTTATAACGATATCGCAAGGAACTGTCGTTGCGGAGATTTGTCGTTATAGAGAACTATCATGTCGCTATCTGCCCATAAATGCATGACAGTCCCATATGACTTTTAGGCAAAAATGAGTTATCATCTGGGATTGATCATTAACTCCCTGAACTGTGAACTGTGTTGTTCTGAAAATATCGTGAAAAGTTCAAAAACATGGTTGTCCCAGCCAAAAAATATAATGATAGAAAAAAAAATCATTTTTCTTGGCTTGTTTTTTTTTCAACATTGGACTGCTATGCGTTTATGGAGAGAGTATAAAAATTTTGGAGTACAGTTGATACAGTGCAGATGAATAAAATTTGATTTCGCTCAGTTCCATAATTGTTTATTATGTAATCAAATCAAATAAGAATTTCTTCGATTCACAAAATATTTTTGTTAGTCCAAACAAGTTTCTGCTAACGATTTATGATGCATATATATTTATTTCGTCAACCGACGTACAAATACATAAACAGTTTTTTTCTTAAATATATTTTAAAAAAACTACAAGGGACAGCCCTATGGGGTTGTACGCAATGGTGACGTAGGACTACGTGGTCTTATATAATAAATCTTATTTGATAACTGCAGCAGGAGCTTGTGTTTTGTGTAGGAATAAGAGTTTGAGCGGGGTTCTCTCTGTTTATATTCTTTTGTATGACGTGCTTGACATAGATGGCCCACAGCGACTCACGAAGAGCTACTGATTCCGATTAAAGAGCCTGAATTCATGAAGAGACGACATCTTATCCATTTGACAGGTCTTCTGCTCGATTGGAATAAATTTTTCTATGACTTTTACAGATAATCGATTGTTCCAATTTTGACAAGTCGTCTCTTTATTAATTCAGGCTCTTTAATTCCGATCAACAGCGGTGCGGATTCTTCCTTTTTCTATGGATGCTCATGTGGGATGCAGCTCGCTGCTTACAGGCAGCCTTTCGTTGTGTACTGGCCACGCGCCAAAAGCACTGCTGCTGTTGATGCCAACGATCGGACACCACCACACACGGTGATTGGAACTTAATTCGATCAGCGATTGTGGGCAGCTTTGATAGTTAGCTGCTTGCAGGCAGCCTTTCGTTGTGTAATGGAGAACATCATCACTCACCACGCGGTAATAAATAAACACCGTTTGGTGAGACCGCATGGAATTCAACTTTGAAATCTGTGTTAGGGAAATCGCTTTTCGCAGGCATTCGGTGATAATTTTAATTATCAAGGCAAGAGTTGCACATTCATGCAATTTTCAATAAAGACATTCTGAAAAATGATAAAGTCTTAAATTCAAGAGATGCGTGGAATCGATCGATCTGATCGATTGGTGATAAAATTATTGAAATTGGTCCAGGGACAGCTGAGTTATCAACGTTCAAAATCTTGCTTAATTTTGTTACGTGTTCCATTTTCTGTTTTCACAAAGTGTACCCCCATATAGAAATCACAGACGTAGTCCTACGTCAAAATCTAAAAAGTCATAAGTACAATGGTCTTGCTAGTAGGGTTAGGTTAGGTTTTCTTTATTAAGGAGGTTTTCAGCCTTAGGCTGGTTCGCCTCCGGTTCTTGCTAGTAGGGTTGGTTGGGGTGGCACCATACTCAGCATGTGACGAAGGCTACCACAAATTTCCTGAGGGGTGGAAAAGTTGCTCAAATGTTCATTGAACATTTACAAAGTTCTGTTATGTTTACTTCTTAAAAAAATAATCTTTTACGAAGTTGCATCAACTTCTTTCAAGATCTCTCAATTCCGATGGCCAGCAAACGGGGAAATGACCGGATTTTTTTTTTTGATCAGTTATTGGCAATTTTATGTAGGTTTAAGATCCTATCAAGATATAATGTGCATGTATTTCAGGAATATATTAAAGAAATCGGACTTCGGAAAAGCATGTAAAACTCGGACCGTAATTAAACGTTTTCCGAGATGTTTTTTCCCGGTTCGAAATCATGCATTTTTTTTAAGAACTTCCATAGTATTAATCTATAAATTACTCTGGAATACCTTTTAAATCCTTCTAAAAATTTCTTTTGAATCTTCCTTAATATTTCTTTGAAACTATCCTGATACCTACACTGATAGGCAAAATAAAGTGCCCACCCCATCATTTTTTGAATTTCTCTCATTTATTTGGTTCAAATTAAAGTAAATACACTGTAGTATTTTTTATATCTTATTCTTTATATTCTTTTTAAGTTTCACTTATAGAATACCAGATAAAAAGAAGAGACTGACTCGAAGAAAAAAAAATCAAAATGGGTGTAAAAAAGAACAGTGACAAAAAAAAGTGCCCACTGCATTTTAACTCCAGAAAACATAAAATAAAGTAAAAGAATACCAGCCTAATAGTTAATGTGTCCTCCTTTGGCCTTCAGGACCAGCTGCAGGCGCTTCGGCATGCTCTCCACTAGATTCTTCAGGTGCTGTGGATCTAGTTCTTCCCAGGCGCGCTCCAGGGCTTCAAAATAGTTATTTTTATTGGTAACACCAGTTTTGTCAACCCTGGCATCGAGAATCGCCCACAAATTCTCGATGGGGTTGAGGTCCGGGCTTTGTGGAGGCCATTCCAGTGGTTTAATTCGACATGACCGGAAGAAAGACTTAGTCTTCTTGGCAGTATGCTTCGGATCGTTGTCCTGCTGGAATACGAATTTCTCCTCAAGGCCCGTCTGGATCAGCGAAACTTCCAGATTTTCCCGCAGGATGTCGATGTAGGAATCTGCCGTCATTATCCCGTCGATTTTCACCAGGCTTCCCACTCCACCCCACGAAAAGCACCCCCAGACCATCACATTTCCTCCTCCATGCTTCACCGTGCCTTGTATGTGGCGCTCCTGAAGCTCCTCACCCGATCTACACCACACACGAACCCGTCGCTTCCGGTTGAACAGTTCGAATTTTGATTCGTCCGTCCAGAGAACCGTTTTCCAGAACTCTAGGGGCTTATCAGCATGCTCCTTAGCAAACTTAAGCCGTTTGACTTTGTTTGCCTTGCTGATAAATGGGCGCTTCCGAGCAACTTTGCTGTTCAACCCCTGTGCTACGAGACGGCGACGAACAGTTCGACTGGAAACTGTTAGCTGAAGAGCCTCCTGGATCTCGCGGACAGTTACCTTCGGGTTCTTCTTCACTTCACGCATGATCTTGGTGTCCGTTCTCGCATCCGTTTTGCGCATCCTGCCTCTGCCAGGGCGATCCACCACTGATCCGAACGATTTCATTTTCTGCAGAATTTTCCCGACCGCTGTTTTGCTGATATTGTACTTCCTAGCGACAGACCGGTGCGATTCACCGTTTTGCACATCACGAACAACCAATTTTCGGATACACACGGGAATTGCTTTCGAAATCACTACGTCCTCCATTTTTTTCAACTGATTCAAATGCGATCACGTGTACAAATGCACCAGTTCCACCCGTTTGCTTCAATACATGTCAAACTTTCAAAACAAAAACAATCGAGGGGTTTTCCGATGGAAACTTATCGAAAACATACCGATTTTTGAAGTGGGCACTTTTTTTTGTCACTGTTTTCTTTTTCAATCCAAATTGATTTTCTTTTACTTCAAGTAAAACTTTATATTTTCAGTATTCCATAGGTGTAACTTTAAAAGAATAATAAAGGTAAGACA